AAAGCAATTTATTAGATTACAGAAAACTACAATAAACATACCTCAGGTTGTAGTCTCAATTGTCGGATTGTCAGTATAAATTCCATAATAATAACACATTGTCCTAAAGTTACAGAGCTCCACGGAATTTTAGAAGTGCTGCTTATAGCCGATGCAGTCATAGATGAGTCACGTCCAACATCACTTAAAATAACAACACTTATTAATTCGGCATCCTGCATGAACAACTCTATACCACTCATATAATTTCTAAGTATAAAAATCAGATGAAGATATTCAGCAACTTTTTTATCTGAATCTGATGCAACACAGGCAAGCATTTGTTTGTAAAACTGTGGTCGATGATTTGAAGATAGCATCAATAGTAATTTTTTGAGAGATGGAGACGGCTCAGGTTGTAACGATACAAGTTTCTTAAAAAAGAAATTGTCGGGTGTGCATAAGATAAATCAAATTTGATATTGCAACGTAATAATAAACTTAAGGAACTTACAGCAAATAAGTCAGAAATAGTCGCTACGACAATTTCGTTACCTATGGTGTCATTTATTCCAAACACTAGTTGGTCAAATATTGCAATAATTCTTCCCAAATCATCCGACTTGAACTAGGAAGTAAGAAATAGGAGGTAGGAGAAACAAAAAATTAGAAAGCGCAAAAAAAAATAAAATAAAATGAATTTGGAAATTAACAATAGCATACATACAAATTCTTTCACAAGTTCAATAATTTCATTTTTCCATCCTTCATTCCATAAAGCTTCAACGTATACTTTCGCAGATGTTAAGATATGATTCTCTGGTTGTTTTGACATCTCTGGTGCTAACATTCCGTCTGCTGTAAATTTTTTATCACGTGATATATTTTCTGAATTTTGATCCATTTCAAGGGAAATATCAATTTCATTGTCATTTTGTCGATTATTGTTAATGCTTCTAGACGGTGAAGGAGTGCGTCGGCCAATAGATGACGCGGGAGATGTAAATAACGAGATCCGAGTATTAGCTTCAGATGGCCATGGTAAAGTAAAAATAGAAATGACTACATTAACGAGCGATCGTACAACATGAGGAGATATCCTCCGAAGATTTTTTGCAGGAAGAGTTTGATTCATTATTCGAAGGATTATATGAGGAAGTGATACATAAGGGTTTTCTGAATCAATTAATGAAGATTTAGGGTCACGAAGAATTTCAAAAGTTGCTTGGGCAAATATTTTGATAACATGTTCATGCAGATCATTCATCGTTGTATCAGGTACTGTCCAATATTTCTAAATAAAATTAAAAAATGAATAAATTTGCATATATACACAAGTTGTCAACAGTCACTCACCTCTAAAAGATTTTCCAACACGTATTTTCTCAGTTGAACATCTTTAACCAATATGCATTTTATTAAGCCTTCTAAAAATATACAGCGTGCAAGAGTGTCATATTTATGAATTTGTACTTTGGAGTTTGGTATGGACATCTCGTCATCTATGGATACCATAGTGCCAGCAGCTAATCTTTCTAAGAATCCATTTAATTTTTTCTTCAATTTTGCAACATCTTCTGTTGTTTCAGAACCAACCGAAATTGTAACCAAAGCACGTACAAATGTATATACAAGCACATGAATCGTTGTTACTGATGTTGGAAAATTAGAATTGTCTGCAGTATAATTAAGATGTTTCTCCATTACTTCATAAACACGGTTCTGAAAATAAAGAAAAAATAGCGCATTGTTGGTTCATATAATTTATAGAATACCAGAATTTTTTTTTTAACATCAACTAACCCTAATCACACTATGGCGCGTTTCTAACAACCTGCAACACCATTGAATGCGTAAGAAATTTTCCTGTTAAATAATAAATATGATTA